AACGATTCAGCTTAATTTATTCTTGGAATACATGTATAAATTCTTTTCAAAAATGCATTGAACAAAAAGATATAGGCACATGAAATACGAAAAGGTCCCTAGGGACCTTCTCACAAATCGAAGGGTTAAAACTATATGCATATACGTAAATATATTTTATGTTATTTTTAATTTTTTATATTTTTGAGCCCAATATTTTTTCGATACAGCTGTTTACTTCGATTGAAGAAATTTTAATGTGAAATAAAAGTTTGGAAGAAAAATTGTTCGACAATCACACCCCTTCCAGAACAGACCGTGTAAATACTCCATATTTTACAGGTAGCTTTACCTGGTGTATTGGGTAAAGTTTCTAAAAATTTCTTAACAGCAATGTGAAAATTTTACTGTATTCTACTGTTAAATTTTGCGTACGTGTGAGTTTTCTTACTAATCCAACGTTTGTTTATAGGAAATTCTCATGGTGAAATAAATATAAGGTGATGTCACTTACATAACCTCACTTTCTCTGCATGCCAATTGCGGCCATGCATTTTGGGGTAGTAGAAAAAGGGGCAAAAGATTAGGATTATTTTTAGTACTTTTTGGGTACTATTTCCAATACATACATATATCAGTGGACCCCACACCAGTTAAATGAAGCTTGTATGAATAAAATATATTTTTTTACTTATATAAAAAAGACTTGCGGTTAGGTTATAACAAAAAAAGATTCGGAAAAAGAACCTTGCGCATTTTGGAAAAATACGAATTTAAAAATTCACTATGAAAAAAAATTGTTTATTAAAATTTTTTCCTTATATCTCAGAAACCATTGAAATTATGTAATGATGTAAAGTTGTAAAACAATCAGCACACATTGCTTATTCAACGACATAGTTTCCTCTACCAATAGTTACCTTAAACATAATAAGTCAGCCTTTAAAACACATATGAACTCTCTCTTGCTGACTGAAAAATTAACTTTGAGCTGTTGTACGCAGCAACTGGTAGTAGTTCGGAACCCAATGTTTATACACTAGATTTGCTACTTTGTTATGACTCTGCTGGTATATATTTTTTATCTTAAATACCGACTTTCGAAAAATGAGTTTTGAGCATCGAACTCTATGAAGAAGCCCCAGTGTGAGGTGGCGCCATCTTTTATGAAATCGGCACGTTTTATCCTGTATGAGTAAAAAACTTAAAAAATCTACCAACTTCTACCATTTTTTTATGTAAAAATACCACTATTAATTTTTTTAACTCGGTGCACTGCGCTAGGCTACATACATACATATATGTACATATGTACGTACCTAAACCTGTAGCAATAGTGAAGGACAAGACTTTGTCCCTGTGGAACGACCCAGTGGAGGCTGCACACTTCCTAGGGCTGCCGTTAGTGGAACTTGACGACAACGACTGAGATATCAACCGATCTGGGCGGGGTTGTTGTAGCCGCTTTAACAACAACAACAACAACAAGACTTACAGCTTATGACGTCATTTAAAGTGCCAATCCGTCTATCGTCGTTTTGCAAAACCGCGTAACTGACATTTGTGCCAAAAATTTGATATGCTCATAGGAAGCTCCAGACATAAAGCCTTATCTATTCATACCAATATATCGATATTAGACCATGTACTGCAAAATAACAGCATAGTTTCAATACCGCTCTCTCCTGTAAAATCTTGGTGACCTTACATACGCGGTTTTGCATTATCGTGATACGCGATTTTGTACTTAAAACGACGATGAGCTTTCTAAAAGGTAAATTACCTCAAACTCTTTAGCTAAAAACTCCGCTGTTTTGGTATTTAATTTTGGTTGTGGCAAGCCCATCAATGCATTTCCTAGAAATTTATAAACAGATCTGCAAGTAAAGAAAATGCTGATTGTCCTTTTCAAAAACAAACTACCTATAAGTATTACAAACCTTAGGTCTATACCTTCCAATTGATTTGCTGGGGGAATATCCTCATTATTTGCAATGCCATTCATAACTAGAGCAGGTTCATACAAGCATGACTGGGGTAAATTCCATTTTTTGAATTGCACTAACCAGGCTTCAATGTTCTTAAAACTTGGCGACTCACACTCTTCATGCACATTCATTACAGCCATTTCCATTCGCTGATTTAAATATTCTATAAGGAAAAGAATGATTAAAATGTTTGGCTTAAAATTCCAGCACCCTATTTTACCGAGTATTACGTCCCTATTAAATTTCGAAGCTGCTATCACATCATTTACACTACTTGAGCTGCAACTATTTTTTTCTAAATGGTTAAGAATCTTCTTTTTCATGTACCCATATACTTGCTGTTTATCTGCGGACGCACGTTTCTTTGCTGATTTCTGTTCCTGCGACTGGGGTGTGAAAAAACTACAATAGTTTAATTAATTAGACAACTTTGATAGAACTAAATTATAGTGAGAATTAACAACACGTACCCATCGTTTTGGTTCGCAGTTTGTACTTCTTCCATGGATTGCCCTAACACTGATTTGAGTGCATCAGCTAATTCTAGAGGTCTAGCCACTTGATCAAGTTGGGATTTTCTGTAAACAAAAAACTTTATAATTATCTACCAACTAAATACACTGACAATTTCGGTAATGTTCATTACACGACTTGCTCCTCAAGTTTCCCCAAATTCTCCATTTTTCATCTATTTCCTATAGTTTCCAACCCTCTATAAGGTGTAAGCAAAATAAGAAGTTGTTGATTAAACAGCTGTATTTAGAATGAACTCTACGCCATAGCCAGCTGTTTAAGCGCAAATGAACACAGATGCTGCCATATTGTGGCGAATACTGCGGCAACACAAAGCGAACAACGAGAAATAGGCAGAATGTTCGAAGAATGACGTAGAATGTTCCACAAAGAGAAACGTCAAGTTGGATGAACACTGCGAACAGCGAGCGAAAGAGAATGAGCGATAAACTTCAGAATGTTCTAGAGTTGCCATAAGTGCCAGCGCAGGTATATAAGGGCGCCGCCACCACGAGGTGAGTTAGTTACGAAGTTACAAGTCAGCAAGCTACAAGTAAAGTGAGCGGAGAATTGAGTGGCGAATAAGCAAGCTATAAGTTTAATTGTGTTAACAAGTAGTAAAGCGTTGTTATTGCTTTAACAAGTATTGTAAAGTGTTTTTTACTGTATTAGCAAGTATTGTAAATTGTTTGTTGTACAATAAAGTTAATTGTACTACAATTTGGTCAACGTTAGCATTTATTTAACAATCCAGCGATACGAGCCCGAGCATATTTGGGTAATCTGGACGAGGGTTCAAGGATAATCGTAACAATTGGTGTCAGAAGTGGGATTGTTAAATAAATCCCGAAGAAGAAACTACTAAAAATGGCGAAAATTCAGGACTTAAAAATTGAGGAGCTGAAACAGGAGTTGGAAAAGCGTAATTTGGCCACCTCCGGAAGAAAAGTGGAATTGTTATCCCGGTTGCGAGAGGCTATGGAAGCTGAAGGCATCGACGTGGACAAATACGACTTCCAAGGTAAACCCGACGATACATCCGCAAAGGACGAACAGAAGGATGAGGCTGCATGTTCGTCAAAGGATGTGCAACAGACATCCGGGAAGGTTGAAGAACAGCAAAATGCTCCTTGTTCATCAACAGGTATGGACATGAACACGTTATTGGCTGCCATGTCACAGATGATGCAGGAACAGAGGTCGCAGTTGTCGTCAGACGTTTCCTCACAGATGCAAGCCTTGGAAACACGTATATCTTCCGAGGTATCAGCGCAGGTGTCATCCCGGTTAGAAACTCAGCTACAGGCACAGGAGGCACGCATATCATCACAGCTGGAAGCACAGGATGAAAAAATTACACAAATACAGGACAAACTTGAAGAGAGACAGGAGAAAGTCGAGGCTAAGGTAGAAGAGTTGGAAGGTCGCCTCCGAGATATGCAGTTGAATCGTCCAGCTACTTCGACGAGCGCACCCAAGGTAAAAACCCCATCCTTTGACGGCACGATTCCTTTCCAGGTCTTTAAGCTCCAGTTCGAAAAAACGGCTGCAGCAAATCATTGGAGCATGGAGGATAAATCCGCTGCACTATTCGTTGCATTGAAAGGACCTGCGGCAGAAATCTTGCAGACTATTCCCGACTGTGAAAGGAACAGTTACGATGCGTTAATGGGTGCAGTGGAAAGACGTTATGGTAGCGAGCACAGGAGACAGATTTACCAGATGGAGCTGGAGAATCGCTGCCAGAAATCCAACGAGACTTTACAGGAATTCGCCTCTGAGATTGAAAGGCTGGCTCATTTGGCAATTGGAGACGCATCTGGTGAGCACCTTGAAAGAGTAAAAATCCAGAGGTTCATCAACGGAATGCGGGACATGTATACCAAGCGAGAGACGTACGCGAATCCAAAGGCAACATTTGCTGAAACCGTCTCGTATGCTCAGACGCGTGAAACGGCGGCGCTCCTAAGTAGACCAGCCTACAAAGCACATCGTGTGGAAGTGGAAGCACCGGAAGAGACAAATGAAATGCTGAAGAAGATTATCCAACTGCTGGGCGAGAAAAAGCATGGTTCTGGCAAATGTTTTAAATGTGGAAAGTCAGGCCACTTCGCCCGCGATTGCAGCGCAAGTTCCAATGGTCTTAACAATTCAGCAGGACGCAAACGCAGGGCTGAAGGAGACGAAACCAACTCCAATCAGTCGTTAAACTAAAACGAGCCAGCAGCAAGGGGCGCGCGCTGGCTCCCGCAATTAAATGCCCCATAATCTCCGTCTCGCGAATTGGCAGAAAAGCGAGCAACGTTACTGTTGGTGGATATGTGGACGGACATGAGCGAGTACTAACTGTGGATACGGGCGCATCACATTCCATCATTCGATCTGATTTGGTCACTAAAGAGGTAAGGCCATTACCTGGAGCAAGGTTGAGGACAGCAACTGGTGAGGACACCCAAGTTGTAGGGGAGGTAACATGCAAAGTCGCAATAGGGAATGTGACGGTGTTACACAAGTTCATAGTCGCGGCGATTATGGATGAAGTCATAATTGGATTAGACTTCATGCTTGATCAAGGTATGAAGATCAACATGAAGAACAGGATTATGACGTATAACAACATGGAAGTGCCCCTTCGGTTTGGGTATGATGGTCCATACAGCAGCAAGCGAGTGATCCTAGAGGAAAGCGAGCAGATTCCACCGAAGTCAGAAGCAGTTGTGTGGGCAAAGATTGATGGAGATTGTGGGACAAACAAATTGTGGGTTGTTGAAGCAACACAAAATTCTACACCGGACGTACTTATTGGTAAAACCTTGGCTAAGACGCAAAAGGATGGACGCATCCCAGTTCGAGTGCTCAATGAGTTCAAGTCACCAGTCAAACTCCGAAGAGGAACTGTACTGGGGCAATGTCGAGAGGTAGAGGCAATCTTCAACTGCGAAAAGTTACCTGAAAGCGATTCCATTGGCGAGAATGACATTGCGGAAGACATTAATGCATGGACGGAAGGGTTGGAAGAAAAATACCAGCACAAGGCTAAGGAACTTCTCCGAAGATACTGCAACATATTCGACAAGGATGGCGACAAACCAGGCAGGACTAACGTTGTGAAACATCGCATTGATACTGGCGATGCAAGGCCAATCCGTCAAGCTCCTCGGCGTGTTCCACTTGCCAAACGTGAAACTGTTAGCCAAATAATAAAAGAAATGAGTGAGAGTGGTGTGATTGAACCATCAGCGAGTCCATGGAGTTCGCCGGTAGTACTTGTGAAGAAGAAGGATGGTCAAATGCGGTTCTGCGTAGACTACCGGAAACTAAACGATGTGACGAAAAAGGACAGCTATCCTCTTCCCAGGATCGATGACACTCTGGACTCGTTGACTGGAACAAAGTGGTTCTCAACACTCGACCTTAAGAGCGGTTATTGGCAAGTGGAGGTAAGTGACGAGGATAAGGAGAAGACAGCTTTCAGCGTTGGAGACGGTCTGTGGCAATTCACGGTGATGCCCTTTGGATTATGCAACGCTCCTGCCACTTTTGAACGACTTATGGACCATGTGCTCAAAGGACTGCATTGGAAAACATGTTTGGTGTATCTAGATGACATTATCGTATTGGGTAAAAGCTTTGAGGAACACCTGAACAATTTGGAAGAAGTTTTCCAGAGGATAGCTGGCGCTGGTCTGAAGCTAAGTCCTAAAAAGTGCTCACTGTTCAGGAAGGAGGTGAACTACTTAGGGCACAAGGTGACAACGGAGGGCATCTGTACTGCGAAGGAAAAGATAGAAGCAGTAAAGGATTGGCCAAGGCCTAGGAACCTGCACGAACTACGAAGTTTTCTTGGGCTATGCACCTACTACCGCCGATTTGTTCCGAATTTCGCCAGCGTTGCTAAAAGCCTCCACGAGCTCACTAGGAAAAATAGAGCCTTCGAGTGGAACAAGGAGCAGGAGGAGGCTTTCCAGACTCTGAAGGAACGACTATGTACTGCACCTATGCTAGCGTATCCCGTTCCAGGTGCAACGTTTATTTTGGATACGGATGCTAGTGGTTATGCCATAGGAGGCGTACTGTCGCAGTTAATTGATGGGCAGGAGAAGGTAGTTGCCTACTATAGCCGGTCGATTGGAAAACCAGAGAGGAACTACTGCGTAACTCGGAGAGAACTACTAGCGTTGGTGGACTGCGTCAAACATTTCCACAAGTACCTCTATGGGCAACGTTTCCGAGTTCGAACGGACCATGCAGCGCTGAAGTGGCTACTACAGTTTAAGAATCCAGAAG